TTGCCTAATAATGTAGTACTGCTGAAGATAGTTTATAAAGTCGACCAATGTGAATTCTCCCCTTCTCCACCTCCTTCCCCTCTTCTTGTCTCTTGTTGAATCTCATACATAGTATGTAATACAATATTTATTTTTTTATTATAAAATAAAATTATCAAAGGATATCCAGAGTTTAATTGTTTGTAGCCATAAAATAGATCCAAGAATATTAGCTATAATTGTTAGTGAAGAAAATAAAATATCTAAAATCGTCCAAAGATTCTATAATTAAGAATTTATAGGCATTTTTTAAATAAGAGCCAACGGTGATGTTGTTCTTATAAAAGATTCTTTTAGAATTTTTTAACAAGTCTATTTTCTTTTATAGCAAGTAAAGTAAATCTAGTTCTTAACTAAAAAGAACAAGACTCCAATTGCCAAATCTTATGTGATGACTATATTTAATCTTCTAAAATTTAAATATCCTAATCAATTATATTATAAGTTAGACTAATCTTTCAAATTTTTGTTTATATTATTTAGTTTAAAATTTTTTTTTGACAAGACTAGATGTAATTTACCACATGTCATTTGTATTGAAGGTAATCAATGTGGTAAATAATTAATATTGAGATTTTAAGTCAACTATTCCAAATTATAGAGGCCATTTAATTAATCTTGAGAACTTTTGGCTACTATATGATGCAATTTTTGAATAGGTATAATATTATAATTTCTTGGAATAAATATATATAAGTTTTTTAAATTGATTATTTGTCCTATTGATAATATATTTTTGTATAGGCCAGAAATATAGCAAACATCTTTCAAAGTTTTTATTTCACCATTTGATAAAGAAATATTGGTTAACCATTATTTTGCTATTATATAGAAGTATCTACCTCTAGATGTAACTATGATTCCTTTTAAATGGTCAATCTTGCAAAAAGGTGAATAATCTCTTAGAAATGCGAGAATCTAAGATTCAATTGATGTTTGATTGGCTAATAGTAAATACTTCTAATGCTTTTAAGATCTCATCATCACTAAGCTCAAGTGATTCTCTAAAATTTGACTTACCAAAGGTTCTTTCATAAAATTGACTCCAAGAATTGATGTAGATCTTACTCTACTATGATAATGGTGTTAGAAGATGTAGTTTCTTCTCAAATAATTTGTATAAGTATGAGAAGTATTTGTAGGTTGATAAAGTAGCAATATTATTGTCTTAAAAATTCAAAATATATATTTGAGCTTTTTGCAGTAATAATAAGTACTAGTATTAAGAGGTTGGCCTCCAAAAAATTATCAATGTGGTTGTCTATTCTATTGCAATGTGGGCTAGTATATCTTATGGTTTTGATTAAACTTCCTATTGTAGAGATTACAAAACTTCATCATAAGTGCTTCTTTAGATACTTCTTAGGATTATTATAAGAAGGCATTGATTTCTTCCATATGTAGTATATTCTATAGTTTTTACAAGTTTAAAATTTTTTTTTAGACTGTATTTATGAAATTAGCTTCTCAAATTTAGAAGGCAATCAATTTAATATTTTGTGTACTACTATCACGGACATACACATGTAAGCCAGTAATTACATGTATAAATAGGTAGAAGTAGATAGAAATAGGTAAAAATAAGTTAATTCTATAATATCTTCTAAGAAAGCTTCTTAAAAGCTTCACAATTGTTGCTTTGACTTTATAGGTATCCATTGTTGATTTTTAGATTAAAAAATTGGTCAACAAGTTAACCATATACCATACATGTTGGTAGCTTGGAGAATAAGCTAACTATGTGGTGCACATATAGAAAAACTTGCCTTGTAAGTCAAGGCATGTGTCCTACAAAGTCAACACATATTAGAGGTCCTATAGAGCATCGCCATGTAGCCCTTAGTTAGATAATATATATAGAGACAAGATTGAATTCCTCTTCACTCTTCTCAACTCCTTTTTTGCTTCTAATCTAGTTTCAAGAGTCTCAAGTTTTCTTGTCTTTTGGCAATAAGCCATCCCAATTTCTTTTAATATATGTACTTTCTTATTTCTATTTTGTCACATTTTTTTTATACGAATTTCATTAGTTTATGCATCAACTTCCAATTCATGTCCTTGACAACTACTACCTCATTGGATGGATTTAAGATCTCAAAGGATATTGTTAACTTATTACATGAATGTAGATATGTCTTGCTCCTCTCTTATGCAAAGATGCTTCTACTAATTTAACACACCCATAATATTTGAGATTTTGTTTGTATAGAATATGGTACTCAATATGTGCTAAGCTTCTTGTAAATTTGTGATATCGATTATATTATAGTATAGGTCCAAAATTAGTAATAGTTGAATCATTACTTTATTTCTTTTCTTGCAACAATAAGTTATTTCATTGTCAAGTTGTCTCTGATTAAATGATTGCTTAGTCTTGGCTTGCAATTTAGCTGTTGATGATGACATACTTGTCATTGTTAGTGGCTCAATAAGATTCCACAAATCCTCCTTTTCAAAAATGCATTAAAGTGTTATTTCTCAATGATTATAATTCTTTGGTCTTATAAGCATTATATCTCTTAAATAAATAGTTTCATGATTATTCATGTTGACTCTATTAATTTATATGAATTTATTGTTCTAAAAGAAGAAGATTAAATGCCAAAGAAATCAAGACAATAAATCTAAAACAATAGTCAGTAGCATAAACAAAAGAGTATATAAATAAAAGATAGAAACACTTAAAAAAGAGGGAAAAAACTTTTGCTATAATACTATGGAGAAGAAGAATAAAAATAATCAAAATAAAATAAGCTTACTTACTTACTACAATTCTATAATTACAAAATTAAATATAGATGGTTAATATATTAAGAGTTGAATATTTGGTACTAAATTTGGATCTCAATTCTACTCTAAAGTAATCATCTAATATAGATGATGAATAGGAATGAATGTTTCAATAAATATGTATAGAACCAAGTGACAATTTTATTAAAATTGGAGGATGATTTCCTCAGCAACTTTTGAATGATGGTTTGGTAGTTGAGAAGAGTTCAAATAGACTTCTCTTTATCAATTGTTTAAATGAAGGTATTTCTAATATAATTAGATAATTCTTTTAACATGATTCTTATTAGGTAGGCTTATCAAGCAATCAATGAACACTCAAAAAAACATGAATCATTAGACATGGCTTATTCCAATACATGGAATAGTCTCTACAATTACCCATCAAAAATCCCACATTTCTCAACATGTGACAAAAACTTGCTTCACTAACAAGAAATTTTCTAGGACAAGTCAATAGTTATTTAGAATAAAGCCTCAATGTTATTCCTTAGCTCACTCAATGCATCCTTTCATTTTAATAGAACATTTGAATACTAGAATACTTTGTGTTGTCCCTCCAATGAAATTAGTCTCAAGAGATAGGTTTCCATGGTTAGTAGCCATAGTGGTGAAAAGGCTCTTGTGTGGGAGGTACCAGTCCAAAAAGTGTTAAATGTTTCGGATCAATTTTGGATGTGTAGCAATATACTACTACAACCATTATCTCTCTAATTGTGACTAATTTTAGTATCAAAATTGACACTCCTTGCTTGTAAAATTAAATGCCAGCTTCAACCTAAGCAAGACATAGTAGCCAAATTAAGGATAGAAATTGGCCAAATTGTAGAAGATGAAGTTTTGTTCCAATAACTTTAAAGAGCTGCTAAAAGTTATTTATTACCTTAAGATGTTAAAACATCTAGATCTTGTGTACAAAGTCTCTTCTTAATCAACAAAATTCTTTCATATCTTAAAACTTTAGAGCAAAGCAAAAATGTCAACAACTTTTGCACACTATCCAACTTAATTTGCATCTTTGTTTCTTTGTCAAAATTGAATTTGTTCTTTAAGTAAATCCTTGAACCTCTTCCTATGCTTGACAAATTCAAGACTGTCAAGCTTTACTAGAATCCAATTTTTGTACCTCTTGCAAAGCAGCACTAAATGCATGTAATCAATTTTGGAACTTTGCTAAAAGAAATTGAACTTAATCCTAGATTACTTTAGCAATAGTAATAAATATAATAATAAATAAATTGAACTTTGATCAAATAAATTAAAAAGTTGTTAAGTTATATATATATATATATATATATATATATAGTCAATATTTTTTATAATTTTTATAATTTAGTAAATATTAAATTAATAATTTGACAAATGGTACAATTTCAAAATTTAATTTTCATAGCTTTATAAAATGTAAGGCAATTTAGATAAGACAAGAGGACATATACTTCTAAAGTTGGTAGAAAACTCTAATGGACATCATAACCATCTTGAGATTTGGTATTGACAAAACAGAAAGGTATCCTTGATACGTGGCTTAAAGTTAAAGTTCTAAACACAAATATGCAAATTTTACTAATATGGCATAAAGCGATAGTTTTCTTTTTACAAGGGAATATTTTTCAGTAAGAGGAGAGCAGATATTAACTGCCTTACCCATTATCCATAGATTTCTGAGAGGTACTTAGATTAGAAAAATATGGAATTGAACTACAATCTTTTTAACAGATAAGTAATCCCAAAAGATGGGAACACACCATGTTCACATAAAAATTGGCCTCAAGATTTAAAAGAGTATAATGTTAATAAACATCTTTGCAAATGTTACATAAAATGCTAATCACATGGGACAAACTACGAGGACAAACCTCTATGATACAAGTGACTACTTTTAAAAGTTTTCATAAAGAAAATCAAGAAATAACCAGAGATTGCAACACTCTTACTGAAAAAATGGAACACCTCATGATGACTAGTGTCGTGTTGAGGAGGAGAAAAAAATCTTTTGGCAACTTACAGTACTACTAGGTACAAAATATGACCACGTAAATGCAAACATCCCAAGGAAACAACGACGACCACATCCCGTCCCAAGTTGCATCCGCAATTTGTCGGTCTGTGGATAATATGCAGACAAAAACATGCAAATGGATAACATCAACTAAGACATAATGTAGATGTAAGTCGTAAAAATCTCAAATCTATTTTTAATAAATAAAACCAGAAATATGATTGATTTTGTACTACTGTACATCACAATTACAATAATAAACCATGAAATGTCCTGCAGCAGCCCTACCTACTGGCAAAGGATATTAGCTTCCTGGATCAGACAAAGCTAGATATCACTGACAAGCAAGGCCTAAACCCTAAACATCATCAAAAATATAAAGCGTGAGTAGAGTATCAGATCGTCGGATTATAACTACCAATAAATCCGACACAAAACATGTTACTGATCCGAAATGCTCGAGGACTTGAGAGCTTTGGCACCTGCACAATTAAAGAGTTAGTGAAGTGGGCAACTTACAATTTAACACGGAACACAAACAAATTATTTGTGAAACATAAAAACATAAGAAAGAACGTTTACATGATACTTTGAAACACAGCACACAAAAAATCCAAGGATTATTACCTGAATAATCATCGACGATATGAACCATACTGCGGGGACACTGAGCGGTTACCCCCATGAGTGCGGTATGGAGAATAACGAGGTGACCTGCCTCTGTCTCTATCCCTGTCCCGGCCACCACCTTGGTATGGTGCATACTCAGGCGAGTGTCGCATGTTCCTGCTATCACGGCCATAGCTACCACCGCCTCTGCCCCCACCACCTCCCCGACGACTTGCCTGCATAGCTGGTAATTTGTAATCACCCGAACACAGTGTCAGTTATCAATTCACAGCAAATCCAAAGCACTGTACAAAAAAACAAAACAAAACCAAACTCTTTAAAGGTGAAAGGGTTAGAAGAGCAACAAACTTAGCAGACAAATTCAATTCAGCGTACACGTAGATCTTAGGCTTGGGTAAGTGACGATGACATATTTGTACCTCTAACACCAAGATACTCTCCAGGAGTAGGAGTACGCGCTCGCTTGCGTTTGGCCTGCACACCCAGCCGAGGTACAATCGTAAGCGTACTTAGCCATAAAATCACCATGAACCATTCCTTGATAAGATATGCGAGGGGTGGGAACATGAATTCGCAGCAATTGAGACCTTCATCATAATATTTGGATCATTAATTCAGCAATTTAAATGGATGCGATTGCAGAAGGTTATACTGCATCAACAACCATACTCTAGCTATAAAGTCAATCATAAAACTCACAGCCATTACACATGTTCCAAGGAAAAATAAGATGGACAAAAAAGGGCCCGGATGCAGCTAGTACCAAAGAGCAACTGATAGCAAGGCATAGCGTCTCTGCAAAGCTGGACTCTTGCCCTCAGCTCCCATATTTAAGAAAGTCGGAAACTTAAAAGGGGACGTCGACCACAATTGGACATTAACGTTGCGAAAGGTTGGGAATAGCCTGGGTAGAAGAATACAACTGATCGATAAAGCCGACAGAGATGGTTGCAGGTACTCCATTGAATATGACTAGTAGCATTCGATATCATTGCACCTTGCCAGCCGTGATAGACAAACAGTACCCATCTCTAGTTGAACAGCAGGTGTTGAATACCCCTTCGAATTGATTAAGACTACCGAGATTTGGTCTTTTCGCAGTGCCATTTCTCCCATTGAGTTGAATTAGACTACCGAGATTTGATTACTGCCGGTCGAGTTGTGCCAACCAGTTAGGCAATTAGGTGTTGATCTCTAGATCAGCTTGGACAGCAGCTGAAGAAAAGAGGATAGCACGCTAGGCACATGGCAAGACCTGCAAGACTGAGATTTGTATCCCCTGCGAAGAACCATTCGATCGCATGAACCCAAGTTCCAACGTTGGGTTGGTTCTTGCGATCTTTACTGTCGCCGCAGAAGAAACTAAGTGGGAGAGTAAAAGCGGAGGCAGTGTGGAGCCGAATTCTGGAGGACCAAGAGGTCGCAATGAAGAGACCAGCAAAGTCTGGCTCAGGAGAAGCTGCAACAGTGACATTCAAGTTAGGTGATAATGGCTGACAACAAGATGTCCTAAAAACTAGTACCCTACAAATGCTCACCTTTTCAACAGTAATTATTCGTCCTTCCAAGGTAGAACGGTTAAGATACTTTATGCAGCGCTCTGCATCCTCTAAATGTTCCATTGTGACGAATCCAAAACCACGTGACTCGCGCGTTCGGGGATCAAGCACTAAACGGCATTCCAATACCTGTCAAGAAACATCCCAGTTTGAATTCTTCGGCAAACACTGAACCAGCTCCTGCACCTTACCGAAAAAAATCCAAAGAAAAATTGAAGCATCATGTGTCCAAATACGAACCTTTCCCTCTTGTGAAAAGTGCTCTAGCAGATCTTTCTCATTCACCCGTGTAGATAGACCAGTGACATAGAGATTGTTACCAGGGTTCAATGCATCAGGTTCACCTCTTCTGGATCTGCGCAAATTCCAACAAAAGAAGCGCTACAAGAAACTTAGTCAACAATCTCGATGACCAGGCACTTGCATGTATTACAGGTATAACAGACAGCATGTTAAGGTTTGAAGGACTAACCGACGAGGAGGTGTCCGGGACCTTGACCGATCCCGTCCATCGTTAATGGACCCAGGTTTCTCACTGTTCACACGAGAGAATCCACGTCAGAAAATAATGAAGAAGCTTTCTTGGCATTCTGTCAATGACTCATCCAAAACCGTGCATAAAAGCCTTACTAAGATAAAACGAGTGACATAGACTGAAGTGGTACGGTCAAAGGGCATACCGACGAGGAGGAGTACGTGACCTTGAGCGATCCAGCCCATCATTGATAGGCTTCCCTCTGTTAACACCAGAGAAACAAGAACAATATGTAAGTTTCGAATGTGTGTCCAAAGAATGAGATTGTCGTAGGATTTGGGAAATGAAAATGCATACACCAGTCAACCGTGCTACAATGTGAGAACTAACCGTCGGACAGGGCTACGCGACCGAGATCGCTCTGGCAGCCTCTCCCTCTCTCTCTCCCTTGGAGAAGGCGAACTTGAATACCTGAAACATCCAGTGCTGGACGTAAATGTCTCTTCATAACCCACTCGACATTTTGAAGCAACTCAAGTGTCAGAAGAGATTTTGGCCTCAGGCACAAGTGACTCTTCAAGAAAACTTTCTAAGCAGCACTAAATAATATAGGATATATTGACAAAACACAATTTCACCCACAACATGGCGTCCCAGGAAGTAACGCAGTAACGACAAAATCTTCTGACAGAACATGAGTGTCCTGAACAGGAGTACAGATGTTGAATCTATAATCCAATGCCTACTCAGAGAAAGGAATATACTCCAACCTAGATCACTAGTTCCGACAGAAATACCTGTCTCTGTGACGAGGAGGTGGGGTGATATCCCTGTGACGAGGAGGAGGAGTGATTTCTCGGTGACGTGGTGGCGGAGTATCACCCTGTATACACCACATTTTACGTAGATTAAAAACCTACAAACCTTACAGCCCTCGTGGGAGACAATAAACAGCGTCAATGGGCAAACTTACAAGAAACGAAAGTGGCGAACGACTACGTTTAAGCAACCGGGTCATTGAAATACCAGCATGGCTGGTGTGAGGATCAGAAATGACATTGGAAAAAACTTCACCAGGTAAAAAAAAAAAAAAAAAAAACCAAAAAAAAACCAAAAAAAAAAACCAAAAAAGCCAAAAAAAACCAAAAACCAAACCAACAAAAACAAAAACAAAGCAGAAAATCACAATACTAACACACAAGTAAAAACCAGAGGGGAGAGTATGCACGTGAGAAAGCCAAACCGCACGGACCAATTGAACGCGGAACTAGAGACCACGGAGACACAACCCACCATCAACCAAATCGCGTCGTAGACACAACAGGAATGAAAATATCCCGAGACACACAATGCTTGGATTACAAGCACCCACCGCATACAAACGCCCATACCGCAGCACCCACCAACCTTATTAGGGTTTCATTTCAATGGACACTCAAGGAACCACTCGTACTCTTCACTACAACGAGAAACCAACACAACCCGTGGCAGCACTCACCATTGCAGCCAGCAACCTCTGGATTCAAGCTCGAGAATAGCGAGCCAACGTACACTCTGCAAGGCCGGTCGTCGATAGACACAGAAATGTTGCACTGCCGAGAAGAACAACAACAACGGAGGTGCATCAACAAAATATAACGTATAAAGTAACATATCCTTTGGGAGTCTAACTTGAGGGGACGAATCGATGAAGGGCTAGGGTTGTTCCCACGTACCCAACGTCCTCGGGTTCGCTCTCACGTAACGACGTCACACAGCCACAGTATCCGTGACGGCTCGATTGGTATCAACGATGTTCCCGCACCTGGACGAGAGCCTTCGAGGGCATGAATGCAGAGTATTCGTGACAGTTATGGACAATGGCCAGATATTGTGGACGGAAGCGGTGCATCACTACCGTAAAATTGCCATCCCAGGCTCCTTCACTGCTGGGTTCACCGAACCAGACACATCTTCGTTAGTGTGCTGATTGCAAGCACGATTTCGCTCGTCTTGTTCATGTTCACGGTTAGATGGAAACAGGAGGCAGTGTGGGCTTGTCAGTCATGTCTTCATGGGGACGGGACGGGACGATGTTGGAGTTCCGAGACGACGATAGAGGAAGGCATGAACTTGACTTTGGTTGGGGGTGATGGGGAGGTAGCGGGGAGACAGGTTACCAATCAGCATCAGCAAGTTTGTCCCTAATTATGTCAACCACTGCACTGTATCCTGGGGACTGAGTGTAATCGCACTTATCTTCACGACCACTAGCTTTTATTATAGCCGTGTCCACACCCTGCAATTCTCGTAGTTTCTGGAAGTTGTCTCGCAAAAATTCATCTCTTTCTTTCGGAGGTTTACATTTGTACTTATGGATAGTAAGCTTTTCCATCCGGCTGGATAGTCCTGACTACAAGAAGTATGTACCAAGCATGGCTCATGTGTCCTCGGAAGCAAATGCAACTGACCTGAACAAAATTCTCTTTATGAGTCTTTATCTCAGTAAAAGCTTTAAGTGGTAAAATGAGTATGAGCAGTACAAAACACTGCTACCCAGTTTCTGGAATTCTTTTTACATTTTCACATGAACTGTGATCCAGAAGTGTTCGAGGCATCGGCTACATGATAAGCGAAAGTCATCATTTACACGACAATGCTGCAGAATTTGTGGCGATTGATCTAGCTGAATATTGCAGCCATCTCCTGGAACGAATTTGATTTAAGACAGATCACGCATCTGGTACAACTTTGACAGCACGAATAGTGCCCTGCAACTACTTTGCGATGGTGCCTCTAGATTCCAGATGTTCCTGGAGCATGTTGACAAAGGTAGCTTGGTTGGCGTCGTACTCAAACCAGCTCTAGTGACACGACCGTGGCGGTCGAGAAACTACTTGCAATATTTGGAAACATCAATGGCAACATCAATTACTGAGTCAGTTGTTTAGGTACATGGCTGTCTTCAATCAACTCCCGGATGGAGAGTTTTCAGGATTATGCCAACAGTTCCACCTCATGATGCACACCAAGATCAGCTGTTCACACAGTGGCGGATTAACACCATAGTACTATAAGAGGGTTTCAATTCCTGCTTTAAAATGTTTGGAGTTGATTTTTCAACGCGAATTACTAAAAAGAAAACCACAGGTAACAAGTACCAAGTATGTAATCTCATACAGTTGTAGTAATAGTAAATGATGAATCGATTTATAAGAAGGAGTGTAGAAACTCACGAAGCGTGGGACGGTGAGATCCGATAAGAAACATCCTCTCAGCACCCAGCCAAATCATAATCCATGTTGACGTGCTTCCATTGACTGCATAATATTCAGCATTATGCAGTAAGAGGGGGTGAAATTACTGACGCAGGCTGTAAATGCTACAGTGTAGCCTTATTTCCACATACCACTGTGTTGCAGGATCAAGGTCTCTAACATGTTAAGGAATCCTAACTATAGCAGGCTCGGTTATTGCTAGTGATCTGCCATGTCCTACAAACTAAGCTTCCATTGGCCATTGACCACATAAGTGCAGATAATTTTCACAGGGATCACATGAGATACTATGTGAATTCGGAGAACTTGAACTAGCTATCTTCACTCTAACTTCCGGCTCATAACAAGAAGCAAATTTACAGATTCAATGCTCAGCTGGAATCACGTTGGAATCGTGAATCTTCCAAACGCCAACACAGCTCTCTCTTGCTCAGACTAAGAAGTTTTGTTGTCCTTACCAGGACTTAGACTCTTACCTCAAATTTGGCATGTACATGCAATGAAATCAGTTACTAAGCTTCAGTGCATCGTAAGGTGGACCGAGGTGCAAGGAGCAGTGATGTGTTTAGGAGCTCTACAATGGATTAAAGCTCCGTGTCATCTTCAAAAACAAAATGCACATCCCCATCTAAACTTGAGCCGAGACTGCAGCAAATTTTTTGAATTCTTCGGGTATGAGCGACTCATCCCCGGCTGTCACAGCGGCAGCGACACGTTCGCCGAGCAAACCATGGTACATGAGACCTCTAGAACCAAGCCCGCCGATTAGCCACCACTGGGTCTCCGACTGCAGAGGCTTTACAAGCTCGTTGATGCAGCCTGTCAAGAACGCAGCAATCATCAGCTAATGGAAACGTAGAAAACGAAGCGAAAGGAATGCGTGACAATTTAAGCATAAAACCCTACATGGATGCACTGATGATTATGACAGACCTGCTAATGGCAATGCCCCCAATGGCGTTCGCGGCGGCATTGCACGCACACCTGCTCGTAAACTTTTCACTTTCCAGCGCTCGATAAGCGGGTAAAATTGAGCTGCTCTTTGCAGAAGCTCATCCTGCACCAAAGTTTCCTCCTGCAATGATACTTCTTCACACTCAGGTCCCGAGTTCCAATTCTTGGTTGCTCCTAAGACTATCTTTCGTGCTCCTTGAACAGCTAGCCAAGCATGTGAGAGTAAGTTGGGAGCCTGGGAATGATACTCCTCGTACTCTGACGGTAGCTCTAAGTCTGCCACAACACCACGACACATGGAGAGAGGAAGCTTTCCTGCAAGCTCTGGTAGCAGAACGGCCTTTGATCCAGTGCATACTACCACGGCATTGTATCCTTCCCGAGAGAGCTCGGCAAGTGAGCTCACGTGTTGCTTTACAAGAGCTGCTCGTGTTCCTGGACAGGCATTATGTGCAAAGTCCGCGCAGGCTAACCAAAGAGCGTCGAGATAGGTACGCGGATGAAGATTGATGCCGTCCGGGATATACAACCCTAGCCCATTTTCAGGGAGCTCAAGCCCAGGAACCATAGCTTTAGCCACGGGACGCTCCAAACATCTAATTCCTTCTATCCTAGACCCATCACATCCTCCATCCAATTTTCTTGCGTCGCGTATATGCTTCTCCGCTACAAGGGGTCGCAAGATACCCCTCCGCCATGCTATGGGCTTAGATTCACCGGTGAGCGGAACAGCGGCTTCTGCAACATCCAGTAGATTCAGCGCAGCCTGCCAACCTTGCTTCCCCTTCCAAAGAAACTTCCCCTTCGGAGTGTAAGGATGTAGCAAGCCTCCTGAAACACCTGAGGCGCCTCCGCCAATCCCAGCTTCGTCAAATAGATCCACAGATACGGGTCCCGAGCTGGATGTATGCTGAAATTCGCATCTCTTTCACGGTCATCAAACACCACCACAACAATAACAAAAAAAAAAAAAAAAAAAAAAAAAAAAAAACATAATTCCAGAATATGCGCTAGTTAAATGTAGAATTTGCACAATACAAATGCAAAGCAGAGCTCTAAAACGGTGGAATTGAATTACTTGAAGCAAATGCCATGCCACTGAAACGCCAGCAAACCCAGCTCCAACCACAGCAAACCTGCTACAGCGAACATCATCATTCCCTTAACCCTAAAAGGACCACTTTACGAAATTTAGAAACCATTTCGGTGTAAATGTGATGAATGCAACCAGTTGAATTGAAAACGACGGCGAAAGTGGAATTGAACACACACTTACCTCCGCGGCGAAGGGAACCGGATAGAGGTCACAGCAGATGCAGAAGGTGAAGACGACGCAGCAGACGGAGCAATGGCAGACATTCTGTGTGTTCTGTTTGTGAAAGGCTAGACTGCGCATGAAGGCTGATGCACTCGGTGATCAGAAAACACAGAATTGCCCGCCACGACCGACACCAACATCCTTTTTGCTACGCACTCAACTTGTCTAAATATTCTGACGTGTACCGACGACGTGCCATACACCCCGCAAAAAATAATTAGTTCTTATATTAAAACAGATCTTTTCTATTTTCATGTAACACTAATGAATAATTACAATAACAAAATTTCATGTTGTAATATTATTCAAAAATCTATTTTACAATGCTTTGGAAGGACAAAAACAATTTAAGGATAAAATAATATGGAGCTATGTATATAGATAGATAAGGACATAGCAAATTTTGGTATTGAAGTAATAAATATAACTAAAATTATGATTTAAAATCATTAGTATTTAATTTTGTAGGGGTGTATGATAAGAAGGATGTCTATGTAGTCAAAGAAGAGTATCGATCAAATAGTTTCTTAAATAAAATATTAACTACAAGAACAATCATTACATATTAAGCTTGAAACCAATTGTAAAGTAATAAATAAATAAAAATAAAAACTAAAATTAATCTTATTTATATTTTTCATATTTATATATAGTTATTAAAAAATAGTATAGATTTTAATTTAGATTTTAGTTTATAATTTATAATAAAATTAATTGATTATTATTATATATGATGTAAGATTATATTTGCTAAAGAGTATTTTTTAGTAATATTTACTTAAGATCTTAATTCCAATAGTTAAATAAATAAAAATATTGACATAACTTTTAAATATTTTTTAAAAACCATCTCTTTGTTACAAGCTTATTGTACATTCTACAAAACAACACTATCATACTGTGTAAGAAGAAGATGCCTTTTAACTTTCATGACTTCTTAGCTAATTTTTTTAAGTATAAATAACTCTTTTCATTAGAGTTATTAGTTTCAAGGTATTGACTTTATACAACCTTCTCAAAATATATAAAATAATAAACAAACAAATATAAATCTTTGTAACAATTTTATATTTTCTTATTTTCTTATTTACAAATTATGTCAAAGTCTCAAAAATGAATCCATTAGCACGACCTCAAGGTCCTGATCTCAAAAAAAATCCATTGTAAGCTAAGTTTTGCTTGTATGAAGAAACAAAGTGCAATAATGGACCTCCCTTAACAATCTCAATCCAAGTTGTATTTTATAAATCAATAATTGTTCATTTAATTCCACATACAATATTGAGAAGTTCATGTTCCATCTAAAAGGTATCTTCATCATGGTCAACCTTGAAGTAGTGGTATCTAGCTAGAAGATAATAAAAACATTGAAATAGTCTTTCATGTTAAGTGCCCTCTTAAGAAGATTGTTGATCTTAAAATGCACTTTTAAAACTCTAACTTACATCTTCAATCAAATCTCTAATATCAAAAATTCATGTTATTATTGGATGTCTTTTAGGCAATCATGATAAGAATTTGGAAATTGAAGGTTGATTTGATACAATCTTCTGCTCATGGTTGAATAATCGTCTATACTTGCGCTTGACTAAATTGGATGAGTCTCCTAGCATAAAATCATTAATTGCAACATCAACAATAGTAATGTACTTTTGAGTTTGAGGTGATTTGTTGTTTGGCAATGATACAAACTTACAAACCTTTGAATTGTATCTAAGGTCCTCAAGCAAAATCAAGAAATACTTCTTGGACAAGGACTTGAGCTTCGTATTAATCAAAATCTTATTAGGATGATATAATAGGTTAATGTTCTTGATACACGCCTCAAAAATAGTAGTGACCAAAGGTCCAAATAGCTCTATTAGTACAACTTTGCAAAAAGTATCAATGGTGTCTAACTTATAATGTAATAGCCTCCTTATTGGATATACTAACAATATAGCATATTATATATATATATATATATATATTCTTTGGTTAATCTTAAATAAATAATTTAATATATAGTCCACAAGAGAAAGAATGAAATGTTTATTGAGAAAATTCATTCAATTTGTGAAGAACGTCTGTTGAGCATTTTTGTAATCAATAAAGATGGCATTGATACTATTTATCTTGTTCATTTCATTGATAAGTATTTAGGGTATATACAAATTCAATTTGTATCTTACTACAATAAATTTTCTTTTGTTGTATGCACAAATGAGCATAAAACAAATGAACATAATACAAGGGAGCCAATTCTTATTCATAGTTGCATCAAGTTCAATATCATATATGGTAGAGACGACTTTGCTAATATTAGTTTAGTTTGGAATATATTAACATATTCCTTGATAAAATTGGATATAAATTGTCATTAAATGATTGCTGCAACAAGATAGACATCTTTTTTCTATGATAAGGTAGCTTACTTGTCAAGGGTGAGATCATCACATTCAGGTTGTACTTTAAATTGGGTATAAGAATAACAAACATATCTTTTAAATATAAAAAATAAAAATAAAAAAATAAAAGTGAACATATTAGATACAATGCTCTCATGTTTTAGTTTAGCTATTATGTGAAAATGATGCATATATATATATATATATATATATAATTTATTATATAATGTAATGAGGGCCACATTATTAGATTTTAGTTAGTAACAAAATATGATTAGATTACTACTTTGAAGTGGTTGTTATAACAACTATTATTGAGGTTGATTTTATTTTAATAATAATTTTTAAATATATATAGAGCCACCTTTATTAGACATTGGTGACTCATGAAATCTTATTTTGTTTCTTTATTTAATGTTTAAGACATATATTATATAAATCTTATAAGAAAAAGAGTTGGACATGGATTTTGGTACCAAAAAGAGTGGTTAAGACATCCATATGGATGAATGGAGATGGATGATGAAAATCTCCATTGCTTTGGCCAAAAGGTATGTCCAATGGGCTTCAAGGAGGCTGCTTGAGGCCTTATTAGAGATTAGAATTACTGCTACTGACACAGAAATACAAGATCGAGATCTAACAAGAAGTTCAAGAAGAACTGGCAAGAATTAGATTAATCAGATGAATACAAGAACAACACCAGAGAGGTGAGCTAGAGCTCCAAGAGATGTGTTGTCGACACTCAAGAATTCTTCAGCCTCGAATCCAATATATACTCCTATTTAAGAAGCTTTTCAAGCAACTTCTACCAACTAGGAAGCTTCTCAAGCAACTTCCACCAACTAGGAAGCTTCTCAAGCGACTTCCACCAACTAGGAAGCTTTTCAAGCAACTTCCATTAACTAAGAAGCTTCTCAAGCAACTTCTACTGACTAGGAAGCTTCTCAAGCAACTTCCACCAACTAGGAAGTTTCAAGAAAGTTCTAGAGACTTGCTTCTAGAAGGTTCTAGAAACTTATCTCTAAAAGGTTATAAGGACTATGTTCCTAACATCACCCCCTCCTTTAGCTTCGAGGTCTCTGAGAAGCAATATTATTGTTAATCAGTACCAACGCAAGAAAATGAAGATCTGTCGCATAACATCTGCTTTGAACTCCAACTATTGTTCACGAGGCAAGTGGTTCATCGGCCCTTAATGCCAATGGTAGAGGCCCACGCCTTCGACTTCTGACCAAGCATGAACTTCCGTGTCTTCATTGTGAAATTGTCTTACAAACACGCCTTCTGGCTGACCATCGTAAGCAGGTTCGAATTCAAATATAAGCACCAGTGATCAATTACTCGGTATCCTCCGTCGTCATCGTAATATAGGCGGTTCTTCATCTCGAGGTTACCTTTGTAAGCTAGTCAATTGAGATAATCTGACTGGCATAATATCTATCTCTTGGCTATCCATATCAGAAGGCTATTGAAAAAATTCTACTTTATCAACTACGAGTTTTGGTGGTACTCTCCCCCTTTCTTATATTCTTGGATGAGCAAGCTTCAAAAAGAAGCTATCGTCGAACCGGCTTAGGTTTATGAGGATGTTGTTGACGAAACTCATGTATCTTTTGTAGCGAATTGGCAAGATTTTCAACTGGTTCCCACGTTCGATCATTAATATCGTAGCCGCACCAATGAACAAGATACTCCAACTTGCCCCACCTTTGCCATGAATCCAACACCGTTTCGACCTCGTATTCCTTGTGATTCTCGATCTCAATACTAGGTGGCAGACATTGCTTTCTTCCAAGAAAGGATGACTCTCGATAAGGCACCAACAGAAAAAAATGAAAGACTGGATGTACCTTCATAGAAGTCGGTAATTCTAGACGGTACGCCACTGGATTGATTTGCTTCTGGATGATAAATGGTTCCAATCTTCGATAGTCCAACTTATCACATGGTTGCTTGGTCTTGATATTCTGTCGAAGAAGCCATGCTTTATCTCCAATTTTGAAAGTAGGTGCTTGATTTTGAAATCTATCTACAAACACCTTGTAGGATTCTTGAGAGGATTGTAATTGAAGCTTCAACGTAGTTTGAAGCTCTAATAGTTGCTTCGCAAATCCTTCAACTGCTTGATTGTTATTTATTGACGGACTCAATAAATCAAGCTTCGGATGATACCCATAGTTAGCAAAGAATGGTATGTATAGAGTCGACGCATGGAGGATGTTGTTATATGTAAACTCGACTAGCAGCAGATATGTGGTCCAATCGTCTTGTTGATAGTTGATACTGCATCGTAAGCATTGTTCCAAGACTTGGTTCACCCGTTCCGTTTGGCCATCAGTTTGAGGATGAAAAGCCAAAGAAAGCTTCATATCCACCTTCAGTATCTCAAAGAGAGATCTCCAAAACTTTGATACGAATTGGGTTCCTCGATCTGATACGATATCATGTGGTAGTCCATGATATCGATACACATTATCAAAAAAGAGCCTAGTTGTGACTTCATTGGATGATGTCTTCTTCCAAGGAACAAAGTGCGCCATCTTTGTAAGCCGATCTACCACAACAAAGATGTTGTCAAATGAGTTTCATGATGGCAGGTCCGTGATGAAGTCCAAAGAAACTGAAGACCATGGTTGACGTGGAATCGGTAATGATTGTAGAAGTCCATAAGGGCCAAGTCGAGGATTCTTCCATCTTAAACAAATATCGCAGGAGAGGACAAAATCTTTCACAT